ATTCCTGACTCGTGCCTGCAAGGCGAGCCTGAACGGAGCTCCAGGCCTTGTGGCCCTGGCTGTATGCCCAGCCCTGCCACCCTCCTCACCAGAGCTTGACCTAGTGTTCCTGCACCTGATCTAAGTACGGTCCTCCAACCTGGATAACCACTTGTAATCAGGATATGCCCACCTCCTTTGCACCTGGAAACTTCCACCCACCTGCCCCAGCCGAGCCCTCCAGCCCCTGCTGCCACTTCTCCCAGAGCCAGCCACTCCCCAGGATCAGTTTCCCAGCCCCAAACTCTCCTCCTTTACCAAGCCCCTCACTTCCCCAAAGCAGCAGCTCGAACGCCACACACAACACCAGAGACAGGTAATACGACTGAATGGCATTTTATTTTTCCAACTGGATCCATCAGTTCTGGCTGAATGGCATTTTATGTTTTCGAACTGGATCCATCAGCTGCGTGTGGCTCAGCTCCGTCTGCGCCGGTTCCTCGCTGACACACGGCTCTTCTTCCTGGTGCTGCGTTGTTCACAGTAGGCCTCACGTTCCTCTCGGTACTTGGCTCTTAGGACAGCTGCTCTCTGTTCGTATGGCTGCTTTTCCACATCTGTCATCGTACGCCACATCTGTCCCATGGCCTTGGCCACCTGCACCACTGACCAGTTCGGGTTCTTCCTCTTCAGCTTGGCAGAGTGGTCTTGGCAGAAGAGCAGGAAGGACGACGGAGGCCGTCTGGGTGCCTGGGGGTCCCGCTTTCTTCTCTTCCTCCTCTTGCCCACGTAATTCATCATTTCTTCTTGATAGCGGGCTTTGTCAAGCTTGGCCAGGGCTTCGTATTTGGCCTTTTCACGCATTGAGATGGACTTCCATTTTTCGGAACACCTTCTAGATAGGTCTTTAAAGCCGAGGTAGGTATTTGGCTGCTGCTTCTTGAGTTTTTTTCTGTAGTTCAGAGAAAAGTGGATGTAAGAAGAGACATTTGCCTTTGGTCTTTGCTGGATTTCTTTTCCCATCTTCATAAGATCATTTCTTTTTCCGGACTCAGGAACCAGGAACTAGGACAGCAGTGACTTTTGTCCCCACACTCCAGCAGCAGTCTTGAAGGTGCTCTCCTTGTGGTGAATTTTTCTCACTGCACACGCTGCAGTCAGGGGCCGGCCTTTTAAATGGTGCTGGCATTGTTGGGTCAGAGGAGGGAATTATGACATCACCCACAAGCTGGCCAATCCCAGGCAACACCTGTGAGCATTTGCATACAGGCAATTTTATTGGCTGGTTACTTGAGGGTCAGTGTTTGAATCTTCCAAAGAGGGAATTATGACATCACCCACAAGCTGGCCAATCCCAGGCAACACCTGTGAGCATTTGCATACAGGCAATTTTATTGGCTGGTTACTTGAGGGTCAGTGTTTGAATCTCACAAAAGATGAGGGTTCATCCCCAAAATACTATGAAACAGTTACTTCCCCTAAAAATACTGGTCCTAGGCTTCCTGGAGGCAGGGGCCTTTGCTCAATTTGGGGGGCTATAAATCTCTTGGGTGTACTAACAACCCATGGGTCTGCCTTCCTTACTATAGACAGGCAGGATGTCCCCTCCTCCCTTTCAAAAACAGGTTAGAAATAAGAATAGGAGGAGTTGGATGGCTCTGGAGCAGTCATAATAAAATGGGAAGTCTTTCTGTTTGCCTTGAACACTGGCAGTCCATACCATACAAAGGGTAGGGCAGTAACTCTAAAAATAATCAGGTATGACAGCTGTGACTTGGTTCTTGTCAGGACAAAGTTGTCTAATTTAAACCTGAGTACTTGGGCTACAAGTATGAACTCTTCATTTCTCTAAGGAAATTTGAGTTGGAGGAGGGAGATTTCACGAATTACACTTGAGTCTGTGACGATGAGTTAGAGCATTTAGCACATCAGGAGGCCTCCCCACGCTCATGAAAGTGTACCCCATTTCTTAGAGGTAGAGCACAAAGCTATAACAGCTACATTCAAACTAGTAGGCTTCTGGCTTTTTGTAAAAGTGGCTGCAAATATTCCACTAGTCTTTCATTTGGAGGGAAAAGAAAAGACAAGAAAAGCATAGTTAGTTGGTCTTTGGATACTGCAAGGTACTTGCTTGTATGTATTGGATTTAATGCAGCTCAGTGACTGAGGATAGTATCAAATGTATAGGACTAGAAAACTGAGTCTCATTAACATTAAATAATGGCGCTGGCCTGTGGCTCACTTGGGAGAGTGTGGTGCTGACAACAGCAAGTCAAGGGTTAAGATCCCTTTACCAGTCATCTTAAAAAAAAAAAAAAGACAGAAAAAGTAACACGTTCATGTATAAACAGACACTACAGGTGGGAGTGTGGATTCTGACCACCAGTTGCCTGCCCCAAGCCTGCGCTTCACCCTGCCTGCACAGAACTGTTTCCAGGGGGGCTGAGGTTCCAGATGTGTAGTCTCAGCATCTGAGACTGACAAGCAAACTGGCCTAAGACTACACCATCTTTNAACCTGGATAACCACTTGCAATCAGGATATGCCCACCTCCTTTGCACCTGGAAACTTCCACACACCTGCCCCAACCGAGCCCTCCAGCCCCTGCTGCCAATTCTCCCAGAGCCAGCCACTCTCCAGGATCAGTTTCCCAGCCCCAAACTCTCCTCCTTTACCAACCCCCTCACTTCCCCAAAGCAGCAGCTCGAACGCCACACACAACACCAGAGACAGGTAATACGACTGAATGGCATTTTATTTTTCCAAGTGGATCCATCAGTTCTGGCTGAATGGCATTTGATGTTTTCTAACTGGATCCATCAGCTGCGTGTGGCTCAGCTTTGTCTGCGCCGGTTCCTAGCTGACACACGGCTCTTCTTCCTGGTGCTGCGTTGTTCACAGTAGGCCTCACGTTCCTCTCGGTTCTTGGCACTTAGACAGCTGCTCTCTGTTCGTATGGCTGCTTTTCCACATCTGTCATCATACGCCACATCTGTCCCATGGCCTTGGCCACCTGCACCACTGACCAGTTCGGGTTCTTCCTCTTCAGCTTGGCAGAGTGGTCTTGGCAGAAGAGCAGGAAGGACGACGGAGGCCGTCTGGGTGCCTGGGGGTCCCGCTTTCTTCTCTTCCTCCTCTTGCCCACGTAATTCATCATTTCTTCTTGATAGCGGGCTTTGTCAAGCTTGGCCAGGGCTTCGTATTTGGCCTTTTCACGCATTGAGATGGACTTCCATTTTTCGGAACACCTTCTAGATAGGTCTTTAAAGCCGAGGTAGGTATTTGGCTGCTGCTTCTTGAGTTTTTTTCTGTAGTTCAGAGAAAAGTGGATGTAAGAAGAGACATTTGCCTTTGGTCTTTGCTGGATTTCTTTTCCCATCTTCATAAGATCATTTCTTTTTCCGGACTCAGGAACCAGGAACTAGGACAGCAGTGACTTTTGTCCCCACACTCCAGCAGCAGTCTTGAAGGTGCTCTCCTTGTGGTGAATTTTTCTCACTGCACACGCTGCAGTCAGGGGCCGGCCTTTTAAATGGTGCTGGCATTGTTGGGTCAGAGGAGGGAATTATGACATCACCCACAAGCTGGCCAATCCCAGCCAACACCTGTGAGCATTTGCATACAGGCAATTTTATTGGCTGGTTACTTGAGGGTCAGTGTTTGAATCTCACAAAAGATGAGGGTTCATCCCCAAAATACTATGAAACAGTTACTTCCCCTAAAAATACTGGTCCTAGGCTTCCTGGATTCAGTGGCCTTTGCTCAGTTTGGGGGGCTATAAATCTCTTGGGTGTACTAACAAACCATGGGTCTGCCTTCCTTACTATAGACAGGCAGGATGTCCCCTCATCCCTTCCAAAAACAGGCTAGAAATAAGAATAGGAGGAGTTGGATGGCTCTGGAGCAGTCATAATAAAATGGGAAGTCTTTCTGTTTGCCTTGAACACTGGCAGTCCATATCATACAAAGGGTATAGCAGTAACTCTAAAAATAATCAGGTATGACAGCTGTGACTTGGTTCCTGTCAGGACAAAGTTGTCTAACTTAAAACCTGAGTACTTGGGCTACAAGTATGAACTCTTCATTTCTCTAAAGAAATTTGAGGTGGAGGAGGGAGATTTCACTAATTACACTTGAGTCTGTGACGATGAGATAGATCTTTTAGCACATCAGGAGGCCTCCCCACTCTCATGTAAGGGGACCCCATTTCTTAGAGTTAGAGCACAAAGCTATAACAGCTACATTCAAACTAGTTGGCTTCTGGCTTTTTGTAAAAGTGGCTGCAAATATTCCACTAGTCTTTCATTTGGAGGGAAAAGAAAAGACAAGAAAAGCATAGTTTGTTGGACCTTGGATACTGCAAGGTACATGCTTGTATGTATTGGATTTAATGCAGCTCAGTGACTGAGGATAGTATCAAATTTATAGGACTAGAAAACTGAGTCTCATTAACATAAAAAGTAACGAGGCCGGCCTGTGGCTCACTTGGGAGAGTGTGGTGCTGACAACACCAAGTCAAGGGTTAAGATCCCCTTACCAGTCATCTTAAAAAAAAAAAAAAAGACAGAAAAAGTAACACGTTCATGTTTATTTGCATACAGGCAATTTTATTGGCTGGTTACTTGAGGGTCAGTGTTTGAATCTCACAAAAGATGAGGGTTCATCCCCAAAATACTATGAAACAGTTACTTCCCCTAAATATACTGGTCCTAGGCTTCCTGGATTCAGTGGCCTTTGCTCAGTTTGGGGGGCTATAAATCTCTTGGGTGTACTAACAACCCATGGGTCTGCCTTCCTTACTATAGACAGGCAGGATGTCCCCTCCTCCCTTTCAAAAACAGGCTAGAAATAAGAATAGGAGGAGTTGGATGGCTCTGGAGCAGTCATAATAAAATGGGAAGTCTTTCTGTTTGCCTTGAACACTGGTAGTCCATACCATACAAAGAGTAGGGCAGTAACTCTAAAAATAATCAGGTATGACAGCTGTGACTTGGTTCCTGTCAGGACAAAGTTGTCTAACTTAAAACCTGAGTACTTGGGCTACAAGTATGAACTCTTCATTTCTCTAAAGAAATTAGAGGTGGAGGAGGGAGATTTCACTAATTACACTTGAGTCTGTGACGATGAGATAGATCTTTTAGCACATCAGGAGGCCTCCCCACTCTCATGTAAGGGGACCCCATTTACCCCATTTCTTAGAGGTAGAGCACAAAGCTATAACAGCTACATTCAAACTAGTTGGCTTCTGGCTTTTTGTAAAAGT